GGCTGCTCCGAGTGCGAGAAGCTGTTCCGCTCGCCACGGGACCTGGAGCGGCACGTGCTGGTGCACACCGGGGAGAAGCCGTTCCCGTGCCTCGAGTGCGGCAAGTTCTTCCGCCACGAGTGCTACCTCAAGCGCCACCGGCTGCTGCACGGGACCGAGCGGCCCTTCCCGTGCCGCGTCTGCGGCAAGGGCTTCATCACGCTCAGCAACCTCTCCAGGCACCTGAAGCTGCACCGCGGCATGGACTGAGCCGGCCGCGCGCCCCGCCACCCCTGGACTGGCCTGAGGCCTGGGCCGGGAACCTCCAAACCCAGACACAGGCCCTGAGATGCGGGGACCCCGAGTGGCGATGGGGGCCCCAGGAGCCCACCTAGGCCGCTGAGCTGGGGCTGCAGAGAAACGAAGACTCCTGAGCCAGTGCATTCCTGGGGCCCCAGGCCTGCTGGTGCCCAGGAAATGGGGCTCCACAGGAACCACTCCCTTGAGGGTCCTGGTAAGAGATGGGCACCCAGCAGAGAAGACGCCCCACTCCCGGAGAGCCATCCTTCCCAACCACCCTGATCTGGAAAATGTCCTCTGGGTCCCCTCCAGAGTCACTGCTGCCCCACAAGAAGGATAGAGACGAAATCTGCCTTCCCCCACTTTGTGCCCTGTGCTGCCCCCCACCCTCAGCTCCCCACACCCCTACTTAGGTCTCCCCACTGCAGAACGGATCGGCCTAGCGATCTTACCCACCCAAACACTAGGGAAGGCTGGTCCGGAATCCCCCGCCCGGTAGGCGGGCACCCCGTATACACACACCCTGTCCATCACAGCGGGCTGGCCTGGCCCCGCCCCAGCGCCGTAGAATATGCAGGTGCTCCTCCCTCTCGCGTAGAGCCGCCCTGGACCAACTCCGCATTCCCTGCCCTGTCAGTTCGCCTGGGTGGGGGCGGAGGCATTGGGGTTCCCTCCCCTTCACTGTGGCACCTGTCAGTCTCCATCTGACGGGTTGTCTGTCTGTGTCCTCCCCCAAGGGAAAGGGGGGCTTGGCTAGGGGATGTCCCCTTGGCCTCCACCTTGCCCACTCCCCACTCCCCGGTGTCTCCAGAGCCCCAATAAACCTTGTCCTGTCAGTCATGCCGTCTCAGTTTCTGATCTTGGCCCCCAGGGGTGGGGACCCCGATTTAGGGCCAGCCCTCAGATGGTCCACAACCCTGAAGATCAGAGATGCTGTAAGTCACATCTAAACAGAGCCTGTCCCTTAGGAGCCAGTTCCATCTCGGGAAGTTGGACTCAACCCCTCAAAAGCATACTCGCCCTTTAGAAGCCAGCAATTCCATAGGACATGCCCCTTGGAGACCAAAGTGGCACCTTACAGAACTGCCTAGGAAGAGGCCCTACCCCTAGAGCCTGCCTCCTGGCAATGCAAGGTGTGCCTTAGGCCCTCCAGCAGGCCCTAGAATAGCTCCCAGTGGACAGTAGCCCTGCACGCGGTCACCCAGGTGCTAGATGGCATCCCGGGCATTGTCTCCCCCGGGAACCTGACAGTGTGTGGGGCAGATAACCCTGGCCGGTCCTCAGGGAGTTCATGGTCTGTCACGTGGGCGATGGGCATGGGGAAAGAAGAGCCGAAGAAATGAAGGGCATCGCAGTCGGTTACGAACACTCGGAAGGCAAGGAGGAAAGATATTCGGAGAGTGATGGCAGGGCCAGCAGGTGGGGTGGTGGTTAAGGTGCTGGTCTCCCACATGGCCAGCTGTGGTTTGAGTCCCGGACTCTGTGGCTTGAAAATCACAGTGGGTGTGTGTGCATGTGTGCCCAAAGTCCCAGAAGGAGAATGCAGTGTGGCCATGCCCCCAGGGAGTCATTCCTCACATTCCCTCTCTGTGTCTCTGTGTCCTCTCTGTGTCTCCAGCGAGTGTACACACCCGATGGCAAAAGCCTGGAGAATAAAATCAACTTAGAGCGAGTCAGGGCCGGTTTCCGTGACACGGGCAGTGCCACAGCGTGGAAGGCTAGCCTCGGGGAGGCTCTGTCGGACCTCCAGCAGGCACTGCCAGGGGAGTGCTGTTGTACTCACGTGTACTCCCAGCTAACGGAGGCCAGGCACCACAGGCACGGCGAGGTCCTTCGAAACCTGTCTGTGGAGCCAGCAGGTGGCGAGCTGTTCAAGGCCCTGGATTCCATATGGCCGACTGCAGTCTGAGTCCCAGGCCCAGCGGCCTGAAAACACGCAGGGCACATGTGCATACATACCCAAAACCCTGAGAGGAGGATGGGGGGGGAGGCATTGCAGTGTGGCCACTCCCCTGGGGGCATTTCTCACTTTCCCTCTCCCCTGAGAGGAGGATGGAGGAGGAGGCATTGCAGTGTGGCCACTCCCCTGGGGGCATTTCTCACTTTCCCTCTCCCCTGAGAGGAGGATGGAGGAGGAGGCATTGCAGTGTGGCCACTCCCCTGGGGGCATTTCTCACTTTCCCTCTCCCCTGAGAGGAGGATGGAGGAGGAGGCATTGCAGTGTGGCCACTCCCCTGGGGGCATTTCTCACTTTCCCTCTCCCCTGAGAGGAGGATGGAGGAGGAGGCATTGCAGTGTGGCCACTCCCCTGGGGGGGTCTCACTTTCCCTCTCTCTATCTCTATCTTTCTCAGGTGAGCACACATGCCCTGTAACAAAAACTTGAAGGAAAAACAAACAAACAAAACTACCCATTTCTCTCTCTCCCTTCCCACTTTCTCTTATCCTCTCTCATGACAGAGCCAGCCAGGCCACCTTTAAGCGGGGTGGCCCAGGTGTGTTCTCTGAGGAGGTGGTATTGGGTCTGAGCGAAGGGCGACGAGACACCAGGGGAGGGGTACCTGGTTGGCAAAGGATGAGACTGGGCTGCAGAAAGAGGCATGGGGAGATGGAGGCAGCAGGGGTCCGAGCTCGCCCGTGCTCCCTGAGCAGCCGGGTGTGAGACCTGCAGCATGGAGGCAGCAGGGGTCCGAGCTCGCCCCGGGTCCCTGAGCAGCCGGGTGTGAGGCCTGCAGCATGGAGGCAGCAGGGGTCCGAGCTCGCCCGTGCTCCCTGAGCAGCCGGGTGTGAGACCTGCAGCACTTTGCCAAGCTCCTTTGGAGCTGAGTGGAGGAGGAAGCAGCAGGTGCGGCGTGGAGGCAGCTCACTGCGTCTCCCGGGAGCGAGTGGTGGTGGGGCTGGGCTGGTGGGCAGGTTGGAGGTGAGCTAGGAGGCAGGCTCATGGATGGTGTGTGCACACGTGTGGAGTGCGGCCTGGTGGAGGCGCTCCTGCCCTCGCAGGCCGTTCCCAGCCTGAACGCGGTGACGGAAGTGTCCGTCGTGGTGTGTTGGGGGCTGTGATGCCTCAGAGCAGCAAGAAGGAAGAGCAGACACATGGTGACCCGCGTGGCTGATTGCGGAGGAGCCAGGCGCACGCTCCTAGCAGGCAAGACTAAACAGCAGTGTTGCTGCAGTGTTGCATCGTTGGTCGAGAATCACATGCAAAAGTATTTTTCTTTCTTTTTTTCTTTAAAGGTTTTCGCCATAGTGCATGTGCTTTTCCTGGAGAGATACAGAGACTGTGAGAGGGGACCGAGAAATCAATCCCCCGGGGGTGGCCGAGCTGCACTCCCTCCTGGGATTCTGAGCATACAGACACACACTCCTGGTGTGTTTCAAGCTGCCAGGTTCAGGACTCAAACCATGGGCAGCTGTGTGGGAGTCCAGTGCCCAAACCACTACGCCACCCTCTGGCCCCAGAAAAAGTTGAACTCCTCACAGCGAGTTAAACTATGGCTGCCCCTAGCCAGGCCCAGTTCTTAATCTGGTGACCCTCATGAGGCATCCGGCCGTGGTAGTTCCCAGAAGCACCTCTCGTCTCTGTCACATTCCAGGATGACAAAGGTCCAGAGGAGGAGGAGGACACGTTGTGGGGTCAGGGACAGGCTATAAAGCTCCATGAAGACGGATTTCGCTGGAGATCCACGGGGTGGCCGACTTGACAGAGTTCCACCCTCTTGGGAACGAATTCCCCGGCCCTAAGGCATGCAGATCCCTATCTCCACGCTGAGACCCGAGACCCGAGCTCCTTGGGGAACGGATCATGTAGGATCGAGGCACCGCCCCCAGGGAAAGTCCCGTCCGCTCAGGGTCTGGCTTGGACTCCCGGAGGGCACCGGGTCTTCACGGAGATGGCGGAGGCGAGGGGTAGTGACCCGGGGCCTCAGGAGGCCAGGCGGCAGAGGCTGCCACCCGCCTCACCTCCTGCACCGCCTGGGCTGCTCGGACATAGCTGAAGGGAGTCGCCCCGTTGCCCGAGCCCCTCTGCGCCTGGCGCGGGGCTGTGCGCGGCCGCTGTCACACGTGCGCTCACCGAGGCGGGCGCGGGACGCGGGCTGTCAGCCTCCAACCCCGCGGCGCCCAGCTGCAGGCCGGCCGCAGGCTCCGCGTCTGCACTCCTGACCGCCCTCCGCGCCCCTCGGCGCTCCGGTCCAGGCCCTCCACCCTCTCCACGCATCCGCCAGGATTCGCCCACCCTCCCCTGCGCCAGCCTCCTGCCCCGCAGAGCCGCGGAGCGCCCAGGCGCCTCAGCGGTAACCCGCCAGCCTCGTCTCTGCGATGGGCCCAGGTTGCAAACGGAAGCGGGGTGAGGACTAGAGCGTGGCCGAGGTCAGCTAGGGTGGACAGGATGGGCGTCTCTGAGACCCGAAGGCGCAAGAGCAGGGCGGGGCGGCGGGGCGCTCGTGGACACCTGGGGGAGCCGAGGATAAAGGCTCCTGGTCCAGGCAGAGCTGCGGGCGCTGTCTGGAGCAGGAGGAGCAGGAGAGCGGGGAGGAGGAAGCCAGGGAGCCCGTCCCTCTCCGTGTGGGCGTGGGGCTTTCCTCCCGAGCGAGATGTGGGGCCACGGAGGGTGCTCGGGTCGGGGGTGGCGCCATGGGATTGCTGGGTGCCGAAGCAGGAGAGCTACCGCCCAGACAGCGGCGGTGTGCCGCGCGGCCCGGGCGCCCC